GCACTCAGTGTTCCTGATGGGCTACCCGCCATTTTCTTTCTGAGGTACTAGAAATCAGAATACTAAGACAATGCTGTTTAACTAAAGACAGTTAAATATCATTACTTAGATGGAAACTCAAGTCCTCAACACTTTCAAATACTGGCCACTGTTCTAAATACTGTGGATCCACTTTGGCTTACATTTCTTTAAGTTTCCCATGCGGAGTCCTGAGCACACAGTTCTAATTATGGCATCATGTGTTAGAGATGGAATGAGGTTTCATCTCCACTATCTGAGCACTGGTCACACACACACATTCCAATGACTGTTTTTTTTACATTTTGCCCCATAACCTCTCCACAATTACTCAAAACACAAAATTTAAATGAACTCACAAAGATTCATGAGTTATGGAATAGAAATCTGAAGGTTTTGCTATTCAGTATTTATCAAGAACAAGAATTTTGACTTTTCTCAGCAACTGCCTTCAGCTTTTGTCTCCTTCCAGACAGTGACACTGTGTGACTTTCATAGGGCTGGCACTGAACAGAAGTACAAAATCCCTGTCTTATAGTTTTGGAGTCTAAAAGTCTCAAATGTAGGCACCACTAGGATTGAACAATTCTGAAAGCATAACGAAGAATAGATTCCATGCTTCTCTCCTTACTTCTGGCATTTTGCCACAGTCCTTAGTATTCTTTTGGCAAAAAGAAACAATACCCCAATATATCCTTCTGTCTTTATCTGACCACCTCAGCCAGAGAGGCATTTGGGTATACTTCTCTTGTTCTTCATAAGATGTTCTCTAAAATGATACCATTCGAATTGAGTTAGCCCCTACCCACTTTACAATAAAACTTTATTTAAACTAAGTGTCCGTAATGACCATACTCTTAATATTTATTTAACATCCCGAGGAGTTGAGGGTTAGGATTTACTTATATGAGGGCCACAAGTCAACCCATGATGATAACTAAAGTTGTTGTGATATGGATGGACAGTCTGAGGATAGTGCATTCCATCATGAGTGAGCTGTTTTTGCTGTTGTTTTGGGGGTTGTATTAGTTCTTATTAGAGCCAATACTAAGAACTAAAACCTGTAAAAATATGCTACAATACCGGAGGTGAGCAAAGCTGTGATTCTGAGTTCTGGGTGCTTGACCTTTCAATGATAAGGTGGGGTCACTAAACGAACATCTACAGATTTAAAAAATATGACACCTCTAATAGAATGGCTTCACAGGCATAATCCTAATACCTGTCCCAGTCCTGAATTACTCAGTTTCTGGTTACGGTCTTTCCTCCTTAATGCTGCTATAAAACAAACTGTTCTGGAACTGAAGCATAAGTGTGTGTCCTTAATGTAGAAATCGCTTGCTATCTGGTAACTTGTTCTCTTTCTTACCGATAGAGATTGAGTCACTTTCTGATCACCTCAGCCAGAGAGTTACTGTAAAAGCAGAGACAGAGACCAGGCTGTCTGCCGGTTCTCAAGTCCTCCTGGGCTAGCCGGCAAGGCAGGAAACTCCTGTCAGTGTCTTCTGGGCTGGAGAGGAAGGCAAGCTGATAGATATCATTCCACTTGACCTCAGGGCTTCTCAAAACTCTGGCAGCATTCCCGAGGGATGACCTCCTGATATTAATATTAGAATCTAGTATTGGAGTGTTTTCTGGACCATTACTATACTTACAAAACATGTCGCTATAAGAATTGCCTTCTAGAAACCATTTTTTTGTGATTGCATTAGCATTATATGATTTTACACTACCTATATAGGGGTTTAGAGATTTAAAAATAACCAGTATTAGAATATCTTCATCTTTAAGCTCAATCTGTTGGTCTGTCTGTCTGTCTGTCTATTATCTGTCATCCATCTTCATCATCATCTATGCTGCCATCTACCCATAGTATATCCATTTACTATCCATCTACCTATTGTCTGCCTGTCTTCTGTTTCTGTATCTTTCTATGTGTCGTATTTCTTTTTCCTCCCCATCATCTTTTTAGATTCTTTGTTTTCATAAATTAATACTTTCATTGTATTTCCTCTAGCAAAGATTAAGTAGTACAGAGTATATATAAGTATTACTAACAGTATTTTTCTAAGCAATAGCATTATGGAGTTGCTGTTCTGCTCTTATCTGTAGTGAATACTGTTTTTGCAAAAGCAGAGACAGAACAAACAATGCTGCTAATTTGAAAATACCTCTGACTAATTGATAACTTTCTCTAATTTTGGAGGATTTAGCATATTTTAGCTTCTATGAATGTAGATGTGTGACAAAATACATCTGCTTTATATTATGAAACAATAATGAATGAGTCAGAAAAAGTTTTATTGAACTTTCTCTCCTCTGTAGAATATGTAAGGAGGATGCTATTGGGCCTTGGAATTCTTATTTATAGAAAGTGTAATTGAATTTCTAAAGTATCATATAATTGAGTTAGTTTTGTCCTCTTGTAATCTGGCCATTGTTTACTGCCACATTAGCAAGAAATAGGTTTATTTAAAGGGTAAAAGTCTCATATGATAAAGGAAATGTGTACATCACTTCTGGTCTTCAAGGTTATCCTTTTATGAGAAGAATAATGACAACAAAAATGACATTTCATATTTACTTTGTAGATTTAGAGATCTTTAAAATGTCTTAAATTGGACACAGCCACTTAGGCCTCTTATCTCAGTATTCAGTATGAGGAAGCAGAAAGATTGCCTTGTTCAGTGAGCTTGGGTTAAATAATGAGATGCCATCACAAACAAAGATGCAGAGTAAAAAACAAAGACAGCAAATAATCTCACAACTTTTGAGACAAATATATTTTCTGTGACTATTCTTAAATTCATATGTGAGGTCCAGAGAAACTTTATAAAAAACAGTTTATTTTTTGAATTATGTGCCTGTGTCTGTGTATATATGCACATGTGTGCCATGCCAATAGAGGCCAGAAGAGGGCACTGAATTCCGCAGAGCTAGCGTTACAGGCATTTGTTGAGCTGCCCAGTGTGAGTGGTAGAGATCAGCCTTGGACTCCTCTGCAAGACCAGCAAGTGCTCTTAACCACTGAACCATACTTCCAGCTCTGAAACAAGCTTTTCCAACTGTTACTGTTATGTATTTTATTTGGGTTAAAGTAAAGAGAGAGATGAATGTTCTTCTAATTAGGTAGATAATTGAGAGGTGATTATCCAGGTGGGAGAGTGAGCTAACTACGTCAGCTTGATGCTCACATTTGCTCATTACAGATGACAGTGCAAACTGCAGCCAAAGGTTCCCAGTTGAGAGTCTGTCAGAGTGACCACAGGCAGTAGAATCTAGCAACTCTCTGATTTCGCTGGAGGTGTTGAAGTGTTTCTGTTAGATGTGCCTCATGCTCTTCCTCTTCTCACCACCACTGATTTAATAGATTACGGCAATCTGGGTACCATATTATTTTATTCTTTTATTATCTCCCCCCACCCCCCTCCAAGAGATTGAACTCAGAGCCATGGTAGACAGACAATGTGCCACCACAGCCAGCTTCTCTGGCTCTGGTGAAAGTGGATGATTAAAACATATTCTGAACAAAATGAATAGTGGTTATTTTCAATCCCTCCCTAGGATTCATGTCAACACGGTGCTTCTTACAAAGTCACATGGAAGCTACTGAGAGGGGCTGGTTGGTAGGGATGGGGACAGTTTGCCTTCCAGTGCCAATCTAGGTTCAAGAACTGCACCTGATTCCAACCCTTCTCACCAGCCTGATTGTACCCACACCACTGTATTTTATGAAATTCCAATGCAGTTTCTGCTGCTGGCTCTTGTGTAATAAATTTTAATTTGTTTTCTCCAGTCCCAGGGATTCCATTACCAGCAAGCAAGCTTTAAAAAGGAAACACTGGTAGGACTTACACATCTTTTAATCAGAGCATACTCATTATTGTCCAACTAAATGCTCAGCATTAAACTCAAATGGGATTTCAGAATCCGCCCTAGTAACTAGTTTTTAACGCCAAGAACAGTTGCAGAGAGGAAGTCTTAGTGGACTTAAGCTAATTCATGCATTGGTAACATTAAAATCACCAATGGCCATGTAGGCAGCTATAGGAAAATGTTCCACGTAGGTATAACACACAAACTGTGTAGACAGTAGTACCCATGAAAAATAAAGATGAACCATTGTGAGTCGTAGTTTATGTACTCACTGAATAAGCAAAGTCGAGTTTTTCTGCCCCTCTAAGAACCTGTAGTTGACATACGGTCTAAGGTTCAGTCAGTAGAAAGTGGCTAGGATTGTGTCTTGTCCCTGTTGCTGTACTCACCCGTAGCTAGTCCGTCCACCCAGGCAGTCAGTCCCCCTGCAAGCTTTAAGTTATCCTTGTACCACCCAGGCTCAGACCCCCTTCTGCTTCAGGCTTCTCATCTGTCCAGTGGTAAAACTATTGTTCTTGCCTACTACACAGATGCTGTTACACATAAAATGACATGTGAAGTGCTTCTATATTGTGAGTGTGCCTAGAGATTTCAGCTTTGACATTACCACAGAAAGTTTCCCTAAGAAGGGTCTCCAAATCCCCATTCCTTCTGGACATCTCTGCAATCAAGAGAGAGAAAAACAAAACAGCAGCGACAACAACAAAACCGTAGTGCAAAAATATATCAGCTTGATGTGCTTTGTTGATTCCCTTGGGAGGCCTTCTCCATCTGAGTGGAGAAGGGGAGAAGTGATGGATGGGGCATGCATGGGGTAAGGGGAGGTGTGGGAAGGGAGCAGGAGGAGATGGGGGAGGGAAAACTGGTTGGTATGTAAAATAAATTTTAAAATGATGAAAAAAAGCACATAGTCTTGAGAATTGAAATAAGAGTATGAATGGATGAGCGATTTCCTCTTGGTTAGTACAATCATGTTAGTACTTGCTTTGCTGATAACTAGAATACTACAAATATTCATTTTGGCTTTATACACATCGTCATTGTTTTATTGTGTACTGTATCTTGAGGACCTGAGATGTTCCTAACTACTCTGGACTTCTTCACAGGGCTGTCCTTCGCTATTCTTTCGTCTGTACACCCAGTTTTTGGTTTATATGGATCTCTGTTTCCAGCCATCATTTATGCCATATTTGGAATGGGACGTCATGTTGCCACAGGTAATTACTGTCTATGCTTAAGCTTCTAATATAACTAACGAAAGGGACTCAGAGTGGTTATTAGCTCTTGTTTACCTTTTCAACGCCATCTTACCCTGATACAGGTGAGGGATGCTTATCTGTCAGACACACTATGATTTATTGCCGTAATCTTGTGCTATACAAGAAACTGAAATTGGAAGCATTGCTGAGTTTACAATGGAATAAGAAAATGTAAACATTTGAAAGAAAACAAAGCTATAAAACTTAGTTGTTCAAATATTGAAAATATTTGGGTGTATTTCTTTTGTTCTTGAACTAATGATATGTTTCCTTTAGATAGATTCTACAGGACCCTTTAATTGGTGTATCTTTTTGTTTTGTTTAAAGATAGGGGTTCTCTGTTTGTATTGCTGGCTGTCCTGGAACTAACTCTTGTAGATCAGGCTGGACTTGAACTCTGGGAGAACCACCTGCCTCTGCCTTCTGAGTGCTGGAATTAAGGCTTGCGCCACCATGGCCCGGCTTACCTAGAGTATCTCACCCTACCTCACTCTGTACCTCGGGGAAACACAAAAATGAACACAAAAGGTGACCAGCCATGATTGTTTTGATGATAGAATGGGCTGCATTTCTGTGTGAGTTGCACCTAAGCACGTGCTTCGTTTGTTGTTCGTCATCTGCATGACCCTGGACAAAGTTTTGAAACTCTAGTTGTTACTTTTTAAATAAGATGACCTCTAACCCACTCCATAGCAAGAGCTACACAATTAGTGTAGTGTGTTTAACTTAACACTTGCTTATATTAATGCAACATTTATTGAGTTTTCCTATTATAAAATGATACCTTAATCTTAAATATTCAGCTAATAACAAAATATATTTCAATGGAAATATCTGCAGGCATTGCTATTCATTTTGTGAGAGATTTCAGCCTCTGAGGAGTAATATTCATAATCTGTCATCTGCGGTCAATTTGTTATTGATTGCATTACTTTCCTACCATCACAAATTATCACAAAATAAGTGGCTTGAAACCATGGAAGTTAATTTTATAGTTCTGGAGGTCAGTTCTCTGGAATAAGTCTTCCAGACCCCAAAAATGAGCAGACAGTGAGGCTGTGTTTCTTTCTGTGTGCTTCAGCTCATTTACTCACTTTTCTGCCTTCTAGAAGCTTCTTAAACTCCCAAACTCCTGGCTTTTCAATACTTTTCAAGGCCAGTGGTGGCATCTTCAGATCTCTGTGACTCCACTTTCTTGCCTCTATCTTCTGTATTTACAAGATGCTGTGATTTCACTGTCTATATCCAGACAATCCAGGATTATTGTATTTTAAGACCAACGGCTAGTGAACTTAATTTCATCTGCTGCATCTGTGATTTCTTGCCATGGAAGATACATATTTATGGATCCTGGAGATTAGGGTAGAAATTGGCCACAATGAATTAATTCTCAAAATGTATACTTTTGTGAGGCATATTTATTACATATGTGTTCATGTGTGCACATGTACATATGTCTGTTTGTATATATGTGTATGTTTCAGAGAAATGTGTATACTTAAAGAGATTTACATGTTTTTGTCTTAACACAACCCTCTAAAGTGGACATTAATTTGTATTATGTATACATTTCAGGTGAACTAGGAAAAAACTTACACATTTCTTATAACAGTACTGATTAAAGTCACAGACGTACAACTTACACCTCCGATGTGCTAAGTTTGGAATCCAACTATCTTTTCTTTGTTCTTGACAGCAAATTTTTTTGGAATATTCATTGAATGAGAATTTTCTTCCACATAGATACAAAAGGAGAAAAAAAAATCACAGAATGAATTAAAAATTATTTTCTTCATTTCTTATTTATTAAAACAGAGTTTCACTAATGATTCTCCTAACTCAACCTCTGGAATGTTACAATTACAGATGTGAACTACTACATAGAGCCAGAAATTCTTAAAGCTTATGGCTTTTTAGTTGTTCTGACTTCTAATTTTGTCACAGAGTATTTTAGTATGTCTGTAGCAAGAAAGCAAAGGGTTTTAGAACTGACTTCATGGATATTTCTTCTGTTTGAAATGTTAAAAGAAAAAGGCAAAACAAAATTTCCCAACAGACCATAATTAGTCTAGAAATCAACGTCATGCGTGGCAGTTAACCTTCATAATCAGAGCACTTGGGAGGCCTCAGCAGGAATTCTACGAAATGCCACAGATTCAAGCCCTGCTTGAGATACATACTGCGTCTTAGATTAATCTGGATCACAGAGTGAACTCCTGTCTCAAAACAACAAATTAAAAAAAATACATAATTTGATAATACTGAAATGTATAATTATATAGACCATTGCATTTCATAGGTAATTACTGTAGATGTTTTACTGGTTGCATAGTTTCAAAATTACCATTTATTTAAGACTCTTCATTATGTAAAACTTATTTAATAAGTTATTAATAGCTATAGATGCATCAAAATACACATTTTGCAAACTTCACAGTCATTCTACTATACAATAAATGTGGATGGCATTCTATTTTTGAATTTGTACTTCTCAGAGCTTGCCAGGGATGTGAGGGCGATCTGGCTGCGACATCTGTCACCCCATTGATCGGTAGGGTTGATTTGGCTGATCTGGCTGGCTAGGCAGGTGTCCCCTTCCTCCCTCACAGCTCCATGCATGTCCCTCCTGAAGCTGAGGGCTCGATTGAAGAGGACAACCTTCCCTGAATAGAGGAGGACCAGTCTTCAGTCAAGGGTATGCGAGTAGCTGCGCTCAAGATGGATCAGAGGTTAAGAGTAGTGGCTGCTCTTCCAGAGGTCCTGAGTTCAATTCCCAACAACCACATAATGGCTCACAATCATCTGCAGTGAAATCTGGTGCACTCTTTTGGCCTGCAGGCTTACATGGAGTCAGAGTGTTATAAACATAATGAATAAGTCTTTAAAGCAAACAAACAAACGAACAAAAACTCTCCAAACGAGTTGTCAGAGCTTGCCAAACCTTCCTATTTTGGATGAAAGTTAACAATAAAGTCATTATCACTAGTAACAAATAGGAGATGCTTTCCCTCCTGGTATAAGTGATAGAGGAACTATAAAAATGACTTCTGGAATCAACCTGTGATTTTAACTATAAGGGTCCTTGACTCTGCAAAGATGCCCACATACATTTAATATACAAATGATATTTCTCTTTTATTTGGCCATCTTTTGGTGTAGGTGGGAGATTATGCTCTGTTGAGGTTTAATAAGGATCAGGAGAAACAGATAGACTGAGTAGATGTTTATTCAGGGAGAAATAACTTACAACAGGGACAGATGAACACTAGCAGGTTCCTGGTCCCAAGGATGCCTCTGGATGCTCTCCTGTCCCTGTGCTGCAAGCAAGAGAGCTCCTGGAGCCCCTTCCTCAGACTTAGTTCCCCCAGGTAACATCTGCCCCTGCCCCACCTCCAATGGGTGTGGTCTGTGCCACAGGTGCAGACAAAGTGAATATCTCACTACAACGCTCCCTGAGAATTTATTAAGAGACCAGATACTATTGTAAAAGAAAAGCATTTTATCTTGGGATTTAGCCTCCCAGGTAGGTGTTCAGGATGCAATACCTAATGACTTAACATGATAAGACATTATAAAAGAATCATTTAAAAATTAAATTTGTCCTTTGACATTTTCATATATGTAAACAATGTATTCTGATTACTCCTTGCCCTTCATCCTTCATTATTTCTTTTTCTCCCATTCAAAACACTTTGTCTTCACATTCTTATGTTGTATTCATGTTTTTTGCTTTAAGATGCAGTATATATAATTGGAACCCTCAGAATAAGCTTGGAATTCTTCACTAGAGCTTAGGGGGTTCAACAAAGGTTTTTCAAATCATAGCAGTGACTCCCCTATTCCTATAACTCATCCATGGCCACTAGTGAAGCAGGAGGGCATCAAAGCCTCTTGAGTCCCCCCAACTATTTTTGGTTGACCATTAACAGGCTCACTCATGTGTAGTCTCAGTAGAAGAAAATGCAGTTGCATTGAGTTCACTTATCTTTGAAAAGCAGTTGCTTCCTGAAGCCAGAGTGTAAAGATGTTGAATGTGCTAGTTTATTTAGCAATTTGAATTTTCATGGTTAATTTAAAATATGATTACTTAAAATGTATTTTAAATACATAAAATACAATTGTGAGACATAGAAGTCATGGAAAAGAATGAAATGATTCATCCCTTAAACTAGAAAAGAGAAAAACAAATATGGATATTATCCCTAAAGAAACCAAATTGTTTAAGACAATAAACATGTGTCTCCCTGTCTCCAGCCCTTAGATATGCCTTAATTTTGTCCTTAATTCATTCTTTATTCACATCAAAATTAGAAAATTTTTGAGATGTTCAGCAATTTAGATTTAAATGTCCAACAATTTAAATATTCAGCAATTTAGGGAAATTTAGAAAAACTCAGTAGGATGCCATTTTGAAAACAAAATACAAATATTTAGCATTTACCGGGAGATCCATAGAGTGGGTCTTGGAGCTGACTGAGGCTCACCACCCCTATCTCCACCAACACAGCTTTTCAGATAGCTTCTTCTGTCCTATTCAGTTGCTTCCTATCTTCTATAAAATACCAGGGCATGGAATCCTAAACTAAAGCATTAGTGCACTTGCTTTTCTTTTCAAATCTGCAGTTATATGCTCTGTAGCTTCAGTAGAAAGCATGTTGGTCTCTGTTTACGGAGTTCAAAGGCTTCAAGGTGCGGCTCTTACACTTGCTATCTGATTTGATCTGAGTCACCCATCTGGGTGCGAGAATCTTGTCTCTAATTGTTAGAACATCCCTAATTCAGTTTTTATAACAATGTCTATTGATTTATTAAAAACACCTAGATCACGGACTGATTTCTAATACTTGACTTTTTTTCCCTATGTATTTGTATACTATCACCTCTCAGAGAACAGAACAGAACTATAACGGACCATTATTAACTCGGTCTTACTAAGACTTAGCGGAGTGGTTGACACTTAGTGTAAACAACATGCCATTTGGTGCTAAGTTATATTTATATGACATTTAAGCCTTTTACAAATCTCAAAGGATGAAGAATGTGCTCTTTTTGTAGACAAGGAGACCAAGAAAATATATTTAAGTCCAAGTCCATTGGGTTACATAATTCTACATTGTCCTAACCCCACAGTGCGTATCATAGCTCCAAACCCTCTGCTCTGGTAAGAAAAGAAGACAGTGTGCTGGCTTTCCACTGAGACCAGGTTCTCTTGGCCTTATCTTGTCTGTGTTAAGTTGTCTGTATCCCATAGAGTACCTTTTTCCAAAGGCTCACACACAAACTGGGACCAGGTAAGGTCTTTAAGAGATGACATGAAGGGATGCTTGCACAACACAGCATGCGTTTCTTTACCCTTTTCTGTGGGAATTAGCATTTCTCATCCGTGCTGCTGCATTCGCAGGAAAGCTATGCCAAGAAGAAAAGAATCAGAGCTCTTGTCAGAAAGAGGGGAGCATACTAATCCTTCTTATAAACAAGACGGTCAATATTCCGAGGAAGTAACCATGAAACCCTAACAGCAGCAGACCAACATGGATTTAATCATTTTATGGGCCTTCGCATTTTGTTCATGAAAATAAGGTCCACTCAGTTATGAATTCATAGCAGGTTGAAAGCATATAATCTGGTGAGGAAGAACTGGGTAGATAGTTGTGACTATGGAATTTGGGACACATCTTGGAAGATAAGAGCTTGTTTTGGTAGATTAGAGGACATTATGTTTTAGCCAGCAGGTTTATAGTTATCCATCAAGGTCTATAAGAATTCTCCTTTTATTCTCCTCAAACCCTAATATCTGGGTACGAGTATCATTCAGTGGATGAGGCAGTTTAGACCCAGAATGTTGTACTTCAGGTGGCACTGTTGGTATGTTGAAGGGTTGGATGTAAATCTAGGCTACAATCCTGCATCTTAGATATTCTCTATTCAGAGTTCGGAAAGGGTGTGACTCAGAAAGACATGACAACTTGGTGGGCATCGAAACCAGTCAGATGCACTGTTTCTTTCATGTTATCCTGAAAGAGTCCAATAACTTTTTAATGTTTGCGTGGGCATTTTCTAATAGCATTCTCATTTCCAGGTACCTTTGCCTTGACATCCTTGATATCAGCCAACGCTGTGGAAAGGCTGGTCCCTCAAAGCAGCAGGAACCTCACCACACAGAGCAACTCCAGCGTGCTGGGCTTATCCGACTTTGAGCTACAGAGAATCGGGGTTGCAGCAGCAGTTTCCTTCTTGGGAGGAGTGATTCAGGTAAGCAGCTCTGAGCCTGGGGAGCACCGAGGGGAAGAAGAGCAAGGGAAAGCAGGCAGCACTGAATTTGTGTTTTTAACCATGGGTTTCTCTCTGGATGGATAAAGGGAGGATGTGCTTTATGATTATGGAAATATATAGTGTAAATGCTGGTTAGATGAAGAAGTAGAATCAAAAACTTGAAGACACAGACACATTTAGTAAAATCAAATCTTTAAACGTTATTTATTTATTTTTGAGTTTGGTTGGTAGAGAGTTGTTGAAGACCTAGGAGGAGTTGGAGGGGGAAGAATATGATTAAAATGTATTGCATGAAAAGTTTTAAAGATACAAATATAAATTAAAATAAAATTTTAATATTTGCAAAGTGTTTTATGGCCTGGAGAGGTGACTTAGTGGTGAAAAACACTTAACTGCTCTCGCAAAGGACATAGGTTCCCTTCTAAACACCCACAAGGAGGCCCACGTATTTTCAGGGGATCCAGTTCCCACTTCTGGCCTCTGTGGGAATTAGGCACACATGTGGTATGATACACATATATACATGTAGAGAAAATACTCATAAAGTAAAAATTAAATATTTTTTAAAAGCTTGACTAGGCTTCCTTCATACAATGAGTCCATGCTTTGTTCACACATGAACAGAGTATCCAGAAAGGAATTTTGTGGGTGAAATTACAATATGAAGATGATGCTAGCTGCCTTGAATGCTTCTCTACTTTAAGCACTTTATGATTTTGTTGAACACATGGGCACTTAGTCTGTCTCCTGGGCTTGCTAGTATGAGGTTTCTGGACTCAGATCCTACCAGCCTTTGCTTTTTTTTTTTTTTTTTACAACTCTTAATATCAAATGCTACCACATTGGCTATTGTCAAATTCTCCTCATAATTTTGGTATTGGGTATTTGCTGTTTTTAATGAAATAATCAGACCTAGATCCCTCAGAAGCAATTTTAAGACAGATATGGTGTGTCAGTCACTTTTGGTAACTGACAACCTGCCTGATTAGAACAACTTACAGGAGAAAGGATTTAGTTGTATCCACAGTGTCAGAACTGTCAGTCCACATTCACTAAGCTTTATCTTGGGGCCAGTGATGACGCAAAACATGGGTGGCCAGAGAGTGGAGAGAAGGTGAGTGAGTTTGGACACCGGCAGCCTCTGAAGCCTCTGGGCTGTGATCCACCATTTGCAACATGGCCTCACCCCTGGTTTTCACATCAGGGTCACCAGTAGACCGTGCCTCTATCCATGGATTAGGTCAGAGCCATAATGATCACCCTCAGCATTGCTTTGGGGGACAAATCTTCAACACATCAGTTTTGAAGATACATTTCACACTCAAGTGGTAAACACACAGGAAAGCTCTAAATGTCATGCACAAAATTCCCTGTTTATTGGTCATTTTTGCTCACTCATTTCTTGTAAACTAAATTACATACATATATATGTGTGTGTGTGTGTGTATCGCATACATATATATATATATATAAAACACATATATACATATATATATACATATATATATATATATAGTGTGCTGGGCTGATAGTCTATTTTGAAATATTGTTGTCCTATTATTTATAAGATCATATATGAACAGTAGAAAGGGAGAATAGTTGTTGATTATGTGAATAAATGAAAGAAAAAATGTGATCTAGAAAAAAAGAAACTAAAATCCTTAGAATATTGCCTTTTGACTATATCAGAAGGCTTAATTATGAACTGAAGTCTGCAGTTACTGAGAAAAATAAACTGTTCTACCACAATGACCAGGCAAACTAGCGGGCCTGTCAGATATTTTTTGTCTTTAGAACAGTTTTCCAGGAAGCAAGGCCCAGCTGTAGTATTCACCTGTGTTCACCAAGAGTTTGCAAACATGGATGATGCCAGTATACACTGGAACTTGTGTGGGCTGGCTTGCTGACCTTTGCTTTGACGGTTCTTGGAAGGCTCAAGAAAACACCTGACCATGGCTGTGTCTCAGACAGAATCAGCTGTGTGAGCTGGTGATTGAGCCCGGATATGTTACATTGAATTTGATCAATTCCCCTTATTCCTATTCATTTCAGATGAAAATGTCTGTATTAAAATGGTAAAAAGACCACAATGCTTTCCCCTGCTCAATTATTTTACATTCCTCTTTCTTTTACCCAATGCAGCACAAAACAGATTGTTATAGGTGTATATTAGTACTTTGCAGAATATACTATTGTTAATAAGACTAGAAACTACTTTCTTGGTCTCATTTTAACCATTTCCTCCAATGATCATCTGGTATTTTATTATCACTTAGCATATTTGGATCAAGAACTTCCATAGTAAAATATAAACGTAGACGCCAAGGTTTGAACAAGTAAACGAAACCTCATTGTCCTCATTGAAACTCCCTAGAAACATGAGAGTAGAGCAGGACATTAGTAAAGATAATAAAATCGTTTCATTTCACAACCTTTTATTGCTTGTAAAATGGGATCCAGATAGTTGCATGTTTTCTCTTATAAGCTTGCAGACATCTGCTCTCCTTCCTCTGTCCCAGGCTGGGGTCCTGGATGTGGATCTGTGAGTCAACTTGTGAGCAGACGCCTGGACTCATCTGACCCCCACACTCCTCTGCCCATTGTCGGGCTAGAACCTTACAGTCTGTGAGATCTGTTGGCCCCGCCTCCTCCATCCTCACTTTACTTTCTCTGCCCTAAGTCCAAGTTCTGCAAACTCGGGATGCTTTTCAACCTTACTTTTTCTTACTTTTATGTTATTAATGTTCTTTTACGTTTTCTGAAGCAATCATTATTGACCTGATTCCCAGACTGTGTAAATCAGCAATGTCCTCAGCTGTAGAGAGCAGACAGGCCAATCCTCAGAGGCAGACTTTCGAAACATTAGCTGTTTCAGATGGCTTATTGGTAGGTATCAGTGTCTGTCAACACATCCAATTAACAAACGGATCTGCTTTCTCTTATTATATAACAATGCCAGCTGTCTTAGTATGCTGTTCAGTTTCCAATCTCCCTCCCTCCCATTCTTTTCTCTCCCTCTGTCTCTTACTGGTGACTGATCCCAGAACTCAGGGATCTTTTCTATGTTTCTTTCAGAATTCTTTCTCTTCGGTTCTTTTCCCTTCAAATTTGAAGAGTTCTGTATGTATTAGGGATTTTAGCCTTTTAAGTGTGCTTTTAAGTATGTTGTGTGTTGCTAATGCTTTTTTCTTTCTTTTTTTTTTGACTATTATTCAGTTATATTTTACCATGTGCATCTGAAAAATAATGGAATTAAATTCACCAATCTTTTTTTTTGGTCAGTGAATTTTATTCAAGCATTGGAAAGCTTCTCCATTACAATGAGTTGATAGAGGTATGATAATTCACATACTTCTTTCTCCTAGTACTGTGAGGACTTAGAGTTTGTTTCCCTTTATATTTGGACTGAGGAAAACCTTTTCAGTGTTCCTAAGTGCAAAGCGTAAGGAACTAGGATGTTAGCCTGATGATGGTGCACATGCCTTTAATCAGGTGGATCTCTGTGAGTTTGAGGTCAGCATGGTAAACAGGACAGCCAGGAATACACACACACACACACACACACACACACACACACACACACACACACACACAAACCTGTCTCTAAAAACTGGGGTGTGTGTGTAAAGAACTAGGGATGTAAAATGAAAAAAGGAAAGGCTTATTTATATATATGATGGGATGTATGAATCTGACTTCATTATTGTTTTGGAAGTGGCTGTCTCATTGGGCCAGCAACATTTATTCAATGACGAAGGCTTATATTGATACCTATATAATGTACCAACCTTATTTGTATATATATTTAGACAGAATTGAGGACTTATCCTATTCACTATATATCTGTTCTTGGGACAGTAACACTTGGTTTTATAGAGAGTTTATTATTTAGTGTTATATAGGACAGTTCACCTTTTGTAGGCTTTTGTGCATATTCATGATTGTTCTTTCATGCTTGTGTTTTTGTTGTGGGTTACCCTACTCCAACCCCCCTTGGGGAGGGGATGAGAAGAGGCAGCATGCGAGTCAGAGAGCAGCAGAGTCAGCTGCAGTCTTTTATTCAGGAAGTTAGGCCTGCCTTTATACCCCTCCCAAGGTCCTGTTGGTTCAGGCACTAACTCTGCTGTATGTCCCTTTCCCATTGGTGTTCCCTGGTCAAAGGTCTCTCCGGGTCAGGTGTCTCTGGGCATTGAGGCAGGCTTGGCAGCCTGGTTCAGGGAGGAAGTGTCTGCTGCACATGCAGATGTGCTTGCGCAGGTGGGCTGGCCTGGGCTCCAGGGACAGGGTGACCACAGCTTGGGTAGGCTGGCCGCAGTAAATTCTACAAGTTTTTAGCATCCACTGACTGTATTCTATGTAAGCAATTATGTTGACATCTTTATTTTATGGCATTATTGCTGTCTTTATAATGCTGATTCGTCATGTCCAAGAAAAGGAATGTTTTTATTTTTGTTCAAATCTAGTTTTGTGTGCTGCAGTAATTTGTTAAGTTTTCTTTTTATAGAGTTTACATATCTTTGTGACATGTATTCCTAAGTATTTGTACTGCTTCTCTGCTATTGTAGATGGGACTTTGTCCAATATTAATCATGTGGCTACTTTTTGTGACTATGAAAGTTATTAATTTTATGTTATTTTTATATTTTAATACTTTCAATTTCTATTTTTTCTCTTTTTAATTTGCCACATAAAGTAATTGTTTTAATTCGGTGTTTACACACACACACACACACTCACACATACACACACACTCACACCCTACTTTACTTTTTAACTCGTTCTTCATCCCTACTGTTCCTTCTCATCTCTCCCTTCCACATTTTATCTGTGTTCAAATATTTATAGGTGTATTGGCTGGTTCTATATCCTAAAAACTGTTAATAAACACGGGTGTGTTACCATCTCTGTAGTGTGTTGACTTGAAGCCCTTTTTATATATATTGAGAGTGATAGATGTGGACCATCTGGTAATCCTATAT